CGTGCTGTACTGCCCCACGAGCAGCACCATGGGCTTGTTCTCGAAGTCGGCCTCCTCCAGGGCGGGCGAGTGGAAGTCGTGGAAGCGGTAGTGCTCCTCCAGCGGCAGCAGCTTCCGCATGTACAGCTCCTTCAGGCCGCCCGTCACCGTCTGCACCGCGTCCCCGCCGCCGCCGCCGCCGGCCCCAGCCCGGCCCCCGGCCGCCTGCTTCCCCAGCCAGCTGAACATCGCTGAGCCGCCGAGCCCCGCCACGCCGCGCTAATCTCCGCCGCGCCCGGGGGCGGAGCCTGCCAGCGCCTGGGGGGGGCGGGGACTGGGCAGGTAAGACCCCGCCCCGAGCCGGCTCCGCGCCCTGAGCCCATTGACGTGTAGCCTCCCCGCCCCGCCCCCTTCCGCGCTTCACCTCACAGCCCAAATGAGCGGCTCTGAAGGGCGGCTGCAGCGGTTCAGCCTTAGCTTCAGCCTCGCCGGAACCGCCTGGGCCTCAGATGCACTCTAACCCGGAGCCCTGCTGGACAAACGCGTCCCTTCTCCCCAGGGCCTTACCACCCCCTTCTGCCCTCACCCGGCCCTTGAGAGGATCTCCTGCTCCCCGGCTGAGAATCGCTGCTTTCAGTACAGAAGACATCGCGAGGGCCCTTAGCCAACGCTTGCAGCAAATTGGGCGCGACAGCACTGCAAAACCTCTCAGGCATCCTCAGCCAACCCATCGTGTCATCGTGAACCACTCAGTTAAGCCAGTGAGTCTCAGCCAGGGATTCCAGGGCACCCTGGGGTGCCGTGCGATCTTTTGAAAGGTGTGGTGAGGTGCTCGGACAGGGGGTCTCAACATTGGTGACACGTAGGGGGTGCACGTGCACCCCCTGAGATTGGCAGTGCACCCTCTGTGAAAAGCGCTGTCAATGCTGCCGGCGGGCAGTTGCCACTCGCCACCCACCTCCCCCCCTTTCCAATGCCAACACCACGGGCAGTGTCTGTGGGCAGTCCCCAATTGTCACTGGCCACTGCCAACGCTGCTGGTGGTGTCTGCGGGTGGTCACCGACCAGTCAGCGCTCACCACCCCACCACCTCTGGGAGCTCCCCACTTGGCCCTCCCTGGCCCTCAACACTGCTGCAACTGCCTGCGGGAGCTCCCTGGTCGCCACCGCCACCACCATGGCCCCGCCACAAACACTGCCGCCTGTGGGCAGTCGTCGTGACCCCCCAGCCTCCGGGGGCATGCATCATTCATGGCTCTCAACCAGGGTGTCACTGGGGTGCCTTGAGATCCATTCACAATGGTAGCGCTGTTAGGTTTACAAACATGACCAACAAGATAAACTCAGGGATTTCAAATAGCAGCCCATAGTTGTGCTCTTCCTTAGTTCTTTACCCCAGAAAAGCTCTCATTTTTCTGTAGGGCAAAAAGAGAGTTGGTATTTTGCAAGCAGTGCCTTAAGTATAGCCAGGGGTATCTAAAAAAGGTTGAGAGTCGCTGAGTTAAGAAATAATCAGGTGTGAGGAGGTAAGCCCAGGCTCAGGCTCTCTCCAAGCTTGGCCACTGCCTTGCCTTCACAGCCTAGCTCCTCAGCAAGGAGGGAAGCACTGTAATGAATACATTTAGTTTTTGAAATGGGGTGCTGCTCAGTTCAGAAAATTTATTGGGGGGTGCTTCAAGTCAAATGACGGGTGGCTGTCATCTAAAAAGGTGGAAAAGCACTGAGTTAAAAACCGAAGGGCAATATTCGCTCCAAATCCTGAAGAAATCCAGATCATAGTTCACCTCTACAGACGGCAAAGATGTACGACCAATAGTTGGCAGTTCTGGATCCCATCATTCTTTGACCCCAAACTTCCAAAATACACCAGCAAAATTGGCTGTACGTATTATTTCTAGTACTTGATTAGAAAAATCCAGGCTCCAACACTCCAGTACATCTCAATGCAAGAATGACACATCTGTTCCTGGGTCTTTTGTAGGATCCAGTCATCTTTTAAAACAATCACAAACCTGCTTAAACAGAAACTAAGTACATCTATTTTTACTCCAGTATAAACACCTAGTCTTTGAGGTCATGGCCTATTTTACCAAGAAATAAAATAAGGATTGCAACCAGCAAAATATTACCCATTTTTCTTTAGATCCCCACAGGCTTCTTTCTAGAAAGTCAGTAAGTGTAGCCATCCTTAAACATCCGAGAAGTGTGTATGTAATGTAGTGTTTCACTGAAGCTACAGTAAACCAGATCAGTCATTTCATTCCTTTCTAGCTACAGCCAAGTTTCATACAATACCATTGACATATTGAAGTGGAGCTGACTGAACAATAAAATTATATGTCATTTTAAGAGATCAGCTTTTGACTGAGATTTTTAAATTTGACAGCATTTTAGACATATATTCCATTACTTTTAATATATATTTGAATGGAAGTGTGCTTAAATCCCCCATCCTGTTTAAATTTTTCAGTAATCTGGACAGAGATCTATCTACTGTAAAAGAAAACAATGCTGTAGGTATTTAAAAGATAAACCTTTGGGAGGATCTATCTAAAACAAACAGCAGATACCTTGCTAACATCATGTCCATATTTTTATTTAAATGGTATAGCCTCCATGATACAAATGAACGGAAATTCATTTGGCTTCTCAGCTATAGCCTTAGCTTCTTTAATTGCTTGTTGGTAGTCCAGCATACCTACCAACTCATGTGTTTAGCTATCTAAAATCTTTTTAGATTTCCCAATTTATATCTTGCATATTGCCTACCACATTTTATGCTCTTTTCTATCGGCCTCATGGGTTTGATTTCTTTCCTCCCTCTCCCTGGTACAGATTCAGATATCCTCTTGTATGTTAGCAGTTAACCATCCTGGGGGTGGGGGCGGGTTGTAAGGCTTTCATAGTCTAGGATTAAAGTTTTCCAAACCCTAGGTTCTAAATGTCTTTATTTTTTGCCCACTAGGGTCTTTTTTACTGTCTTCCTCATTTTTTGGAAATTTCCATTTCTAACAGTTAGTTTTTACATTACTCATTTTCATGACCTCTTGCCTGACAATGTTCAGGTTAAATATTTTGTCCTTACTTTTACTTCTTCAACCAACATCTGTGCTACTTAAAAAATCCCTTAGCTGGCAGCTATAAAAATAAGCTTATGGTCCTCTTCCTATCCTGCAACAAATCTACAGAAGACAACAAACTTGCACACACAGAAAGGCTGGTTCTCTAGTGTGTTTAGGCATCTTTATGCTGCTTTCTCAGTAGATCCAACTTCAGGTAGCAGCCTTAAGGAGATTCCTGCTGCAGAAGGTTTGCTTCTGCACACAAAGTCAGTAGCATTACATGTGGAAACAAATGGTGATATCTTTTAAACAGCTACCAATGAGCCAATATCAGACTTGCAAGATATCTTAAGTGGGGTACCCTAGGAGTCTGTTTTCGTTCCAGTGTTATTTAATGTTTTTATTGACTTGGAGGTAGATATAGCAAGCATACTGATGGAATATGAAGATGTTTGAAATGACAAGGGGTAGCAAATACTTTGGAGAATAGGATTAAAATTCAAAGGGATCTTGATAAATTGGAGAACTGGGGCATAGACAACAATATTCAGTTTAACATAGACAAATGTAATGTGCTACACATACAAATAAAAAACAGATCTACAAATACAGAAAGAAGGGGGGAGAGAACAAACTTTGCCTAGCATTTCCAGGAAAGAATTTGAGAGTTATGATGAATCATACATTTTATACAAGTCAGTGATTTGCTCACAGGACTGAAAGGAACCTCAGATCCACCCTCCTGCAAGAACGCAAAGGACAGGCTTGGCCAGGAGCTGAGATGCTGATGGAGATAACTGTAGTAGAAACAGGTCTTGATCCAGGAACCTCAGCATTGGTAGGCCAGGAGGAGTATCGCTGAATTATAACCTACGGGCAATGTTCTTACAAAAACAAATACAACTTTGAGTTACATCAACAAAGCATTGTATATGAAACACCAGAAGTAACAGTGTCACTCTGCTCAGCACCAATTTGACCTGTCTTGGAGCACTCTGTCCAGTTGTGGGCACAGCATTTTAGGAAGGCTGCAAAAACTCTGGAGGCAGGCAAGAACGATGATAAAGAGGTTGGAGTGCAAGCTGTATGAGGAAGGTTTAAGGGACTTGGTATGTTTATTTGGGAGAAAAGGAGATTAAAGGAGGTTATGGTGGCAACTTTTAAATATATGAAAGGCTGCAAAGAGGGGAAAAATAATTTTCCTTTGTCACAGGGGGCAGACTGTGAGACAATAGGTTGAAACTGCAGCAAAACAGATGTTGATCAAATCTGTGGAAAAACTTCCAAACTGTAAGAACAGTTCACCTAGGGAAGCTGTGGAATCTTTCTCAGTGGAGCTTTTCAAGGTAAGACTGGATAGGCATCTGAGTGGATGGTTCAGTAATATCAAATCCAGCATTTATGAAGGGGAGTGGGCTATTTGGGCTCCTTTGGATGACCCTGTAGGGCACTGTGATTCTATAACATAACTCTCTCAGACAATAAATGTCACTGATGAAGCTAGAAAAATAATCACTAATTTTGAGAAAGTTGGTCATCACTCCCTGTGACTCCCTTTGAGTCTTCTGAAAGCAGCAGGATGGTTAGGCAAGCAGTTCTTTTCTTCTGACTTCCTATCCAGCTACATCTGACTTTCAGATCATCTTCAAACCTCTATGTACCTCTAAGGAGAGAATCCCTGATTTTGAAAACATAAGAGTTCACAGGAAAAGCACTTCAGTTTTTTGCAAGCCATAGGAGACCAGCATTATCAAGACAGTTGGTTGGTCTTTGGGAAGCAGGAGAGTTTTAGCAAATGCACCAAAGAATCTGTCCTGTTTATCACTAAACCTCCTAAAGACTCCTGTATTATAGACCTGTTAGAATTGCAAGAGCAGGTGTTTTTTGCAGGAGAGGAGAGGAAATTAGTATGTTGTTACACAGAAAAATTTTGTTGCATTGAAATGAAGTTTGCAGACAGTGATCTGTAGTAGCATAACTTGTGGAGAGCAAGATGGTCAACAGTCCCAGGTGCCAGTTCAGAGGGGGCACCAAAATGGTAGCCCCCAGGGAGGCAGGACCACCACTGCTGCTGCTGCACCCCCCCTGTTTGGGGAGGTTACAGTGTGGTGGCAGCAGCCTGCATTCACTCCTCACACCTCCACTCCCCCCTAGTGCTGCTCAGGGTGCTAAAATTTCAAGTTACAC